AATGTATTTGGCTATCATTTAGTACATAAACCAACATTGTCAGGATTACTTGAATGTGTTGGATATATGGGTGTTTGTCATGCTGATGATTTGGTATTTTTATTTGGTTTTCCTATCGAATTACATGGTACTGTTTATTCGGAAGAAGATTATTATCTTTCTTTGGATATGATTAATGCATGGTCACATTTTGCACGTCATGGTCAACCAGGTAAATTTGCTGGAATAGAATGGGAGCCAACATCATCAAATTCTAGTGCTAGAGTTTTGCAAATAGATGTACGAGGTAAACAACATATGGTTGATAATTATTTCGTTCCTGTTTGTGAAAATTTCTGGCGTCAAAGAATTTTTGTCTAAAATAATTTATTGATATCATTGATTTTTAAAAAAATTACAAATTCTTTAATTAAAATAAATTTATTATTCGAAGAAAAAACTAATGTGGATTAACTATATCGAAAATATCGTTACTCAATTTGTTTTCCGCTTTAATCATCTGTAATTCAAGATCATTCAATTTGATCAAATCATCTTCTTGTTCAACTTTATCGATAATTTGTTTCAAACCATTAACATCATTTTCAATTGTTTTACCATCTTCAAGACGATTTTTTGATTTTAAAAATTCCAAAGTTTTTTCACCACGTTTAACCATATCTTTGGCTCGATTTACTAATAATGTATGCATATCTGGTTCATCGGAATATGCCATCTGAATTTCCAATGACATTTTCTTAATCAATAATGTTAATTCTTTTTCAAGTATTTTTGTTTTATCATCATCATCATCAGTGGTTTTTGTGTTACGATAATCTTGCATCGATTTTTCCAACAAAGGTATATCTTTTTCCAAACGACGTGCTTCACGATTACGATTTTGTGATTTTAACATTTTCAATGCATCTTCAGCTTTTTTGCCAATTTCTTCACCTTTTTTCAATAATTGTTCTTTATTGTTATCATCGGCAATGATGCCTATTGGGAACAAAACCAAAACAGGAGCAAAAATTAGTCATTTTCAAATGAATTTTATTGATAATTACCATTGATGAGAAGGGTAAGTGAGATGATGGCTAAAATGAATTTCATTTTTTTCACGTAAATTTGAGTTTCAAAAAGAATGATTTTGATCAAAATAATTTACAATCGACTGATATGAACAATATAATTGTGGAATGGATTTTCTATTTATAGTCGTTGGTGATTTTATAAAAATCAAAAGACAAAATGTCGATTGAGTGAAGCACAAGTACATCCGTAATCATTATCATATGACATTTTTCCATAGAAATTGATTTCATTTACCAAATATGATGACTCTCGTCTGTTATCAGATTCCATTCCAGGATTTATATATCCGTATTTTACAATTTCAAATGAAATTATTGTAAAATTGGAAAAAATCATTTCGTCAAGGTCGGAAATAACCGCGCTGATTTTTTTGTTTTTTGTTTTGTTTTTCCATCAGGATGAAAATTCCTAAATCAACATTGATGAACAATTGGAGGTAGAAATAGAAAAAAAAATCATAAATGTGATTTTGAACTTTTTTTTCATTTTGAATAAATTGAAAATTTTCATTTTGAAAACAAAAAATGTTTAAAAGAATACCGAATAATGTTTTAAGATTAAATTTATTTTGTACTACAATGAAAAATTTTTTCAATAAATTCTCGACAAATAAACCGTCTAGTCAACAATTTAATGAATTATTTACCAATGAATTCGATGTTGATATTGAATTTTTTCAAAATGTAAAGAATCAGCAAAGAATCCTGGATAATATCCGTGACCGAGAAATGATTGATAATTTTCCGGAATTATTTGCTGATAATCTTGATTCCAAACAATTAGGCAATCGATTGATTGAAATCAGTAGAACATTGCCAAATGATTTTCATCCAATTTGGTATGATATTATCGAAATTTCACTTTAACAATAATCATGTTTTGTTTCGTTTTCTTAATAAGGAATGATCGTCAACATCAAACAACAATCATCGATCATATTGGTCAACAACAGAATTTTGATTTCAAACCATTAAAAGCTGAAGATTTGCTTTTCGAAATGAATCTAGCTCAATTTTCATCGATTACTCGAGGAAAACTTGGAATTGTTGGTGGACCACGATCCTATATGTTTATCGAACAATTAGCTGAATTATCTCGTGCATTAGCACGATGGACAATGGCCGAATTAATAAATAAACATGGATTTACACCTGTTGTCACACCAAATCTTATCTATTCAGATTTTGTTCGTGCATGTGGATTTGAACCATTCGGTGAACGAACACAAGTTTATACAATGGATGGTCGACAAAATGTATGTTTAGCCGGTACAGCTGAAATGCCATTAGCATCAATGAATTTGGGTGAAAATTTTGCCACCGAAAATGATCTACCAAAACTTTATTGTGCATTAAGTCGATGTTATCGTGCCGAAGCTAAATCATCGGGTGAAATGTCTGGCCTTTATCGTGTTCATTATTTTGATAAAGTTGAAATGTTTGCATTGACCGAACCAAACGATTCGGATCGAATGTTGGACAAATTTGTTTCGATCGAAAAATCTTTATTCGAACAATTAGGATTATATTTTCGTATTGTTGATATGCCACCAAATGAACTAGGACCAGCAGCTTATCGTAAATTTGATATTGAAACCTATATGTATGGTCGTGATTTTTGGGGTGAAATATCTTCAGCTTCAAATTGTACTGATTATCAATCAAAACGATTGAATATAACATATCAGAAATTCTATTTTGATTCAAAAACTAAGGCAATTACAGAAGTAAGAAAAAATTATGTACATACTGTCAATGGTACCGCTTGTGCGATACCAAGAATAATCATTGCAATTGTTGAACAAAATCAAAGCAAAAAACAAGATTATTTTATCATTCCAGAATGTTTGAGGCCATTTATGAAAAATGATCGAATCAAAATGATTAAAATGAATTCATGAAATAATTTTTTTTTATCGAGTAATTTCAAATGTTTGAAATTCAGGTTCTGTAAGCCATTTTTCCTGTGTAAATTCACAATAATCAATACGACTGTGTGGACTGCCTTCAGTGGATAACCATTTTTTCCTATTGAAAACAAATGAAAATTAATATCCGTAAAATGATTTCTTTCAAAAAAAAAACTCACATCATTTCAATTTTATTCGGTTGTCCTTGCATAATACCGACAACAGTTCCATCGTATTCATTACGAACCCATCCTTTTAATTCCAACATTTTCGCTTGATTTAGTGTATACTTATAGAAATACAAAGAAAAATAAAATGCTAATCAAAGCTAATGGAACATTTTTTAAAATGTCTAATTTACTTTTCGGAAAAATACTCCTTTTGAATGAATATTGCAAAAAATAAACATTTTGATTAAATAAAATAAGTTAAAATACAACACGATTAAACGAACCTTGAACTATGCCATAAACTTTAAAATTAACCGAAAGAATCGACATTGTTGATCGATTATAAATGAATAAAAATGAAAGACTAGAATAAATAATTAAACCGAAGAATATGTTGGTTAATTGATGATTCGTGAGCATAATTTTTTTTTTTCGTTCGAAGAATTCTTAATTCGTTGATCACATGATTCGATTTTTTTTTTAGCCATCGATACTATCGATAGATTCAAAAAAAGTTGCTGTTAAAAGCATAGCATTTAGCATGCGCGACTGTCACATTAAAAAAAATGAGAAAATTGTTTCTTCCATATTACACAAGATGGCAGGAGTTTTATCGATAATTCTTTAAAAAAAAAATCGATAGAATCGAAAAAAATGAATATTCCGCCAATTTTTTTTCCCCGCCAAACCTTTTGTTCCATTGTTCATTGTTGTTTGTCATTGGTTTTCCATGTTTATCGCTTTTTTTTGCTGGTTTAGTTGGTTTTTGCTTTCACGAACAAAAAAAAAACAAAGAAATTCTTCTGGTGATTCTTATAAGACAATGTTAATGCGATGTTGATGTTTTTAAAAACGTTTTTTAAAAATTTGTTCAAATTGTCCATGTTTGTGATACAAATCATGTTGTTTCATTATTGACCAAATATCAAATGGGAAAANTTAATTTACTTTTCGGAAAAATACTCCTTTTGAATGAATAAAAATTTGATTAAAAACAAATACGAATAATGGTTAATCAAAAAAGCAAACCTTGAACTATGCCATAAACTTTAAAATTAACCGAAAGAATCGACATTGTTGATCGATTATAAATGAATAAAAATGAAAGACTAGAATAAATAATTAAACCGAAGAATATGTTGGTTAATTGACGATTCGTGAGCATAATTTTTTTTTTTTTTCGTTCGAAGAATTCTATATTCGTTGATCACATGATTCGATTTTTTTTTTTGTTGACATCGATACTATCGATAGATGAAAAAAAAGTTGCTGCTAAAAATAGACATTTGGCATGCGCGACTGTCACATAAAATGAGATTTTTTTTTTTTCGTTTGAAAAAACTTGCCATGCGCGACTGTTACATTAAAAAAAAAATGAGAAAATTGTTTTCTTCCATATTACACAAGATGGCAGAAGTTTTATCGAAAATTCTGTTTCAAAAAAGAAATAATCGATAGAATCGAAAAAAAAGAATATTCCGCCAATTTTTTTCCCCGCCAAACCTTTTTTGTTCATTGTTGTCTGTCATTGGTTTTTCATGTTTATCGCTTTATTTTAGTTGGTTTTTTCCTTTCACGAACAAAAAAAAACAAAACAAAGAAATTCTTCTGGTGATTCTTATAAGACAATGTTAATGTGATGTTTCAAAAATGTTTTTTAAAAATTTGTTCAAATTGTCCATGTTTGTGATACAAATCATGTTGTTTCATTATTGACCAAATATCAAATGGGAAAAAAGAGAAGAAGAAGACATTATCGAAACAAAACTTTTGACTTTTTTCTGGTTTATACTTGAACGCAATTCCCTGTTCAAACAGGCAAGAATTTAAATTTTTTTATTTTTTTGACTTTTAAATTTACTTTGTTTATTATTGTTACACATTATCTAACATTCGAATGATGTCCGATTACTTAACTCCTGTATGTTTTTTTTGTTTTGAATCAAATTTCCTGAAAAAAGAAAGAAAGAAAAAACATTAACAAGTTGATCGAAAAGAGAATAAAGAATTTTCCTTTATTTTTCCTGTTTATCTGTTTTTAAAATATCTGTAAAAATGGACTTTTATTTCGTTTATGTTTTTCCAATAAAAAAAACTAATCAAATGATTTATAATATCCTGTATTGACCAAATATAAAATGGACATAGTTTTTGTTATTTACATTTTGAATTTGTTGTTGTTGTTGTCGAAAAAATTTTTATCCAACTAAAAATTTGATACAAGGTTTTTCAAAAAAAAAAAAAAAAAAATTTTCCCCATAGAATAATGTTGTTGTTGTTGTTGATGATAATAATCATTGTGTAATGTGAAAAACATGATTTTTCGTTTCAAGTTTTGCCATTCTGTTGTTGTTGTTATTTTGTTGCAAACATTTGAAAAATAAAAGTTTTTCCTGTTGTTTTTGATCGAAATTTGTAGCAAAAAAAAAAAAATATTTTTCGAAAATGAAACTGTGAATTCCCGAGAAACTGAGCTACATAGAAAAGTATCACATTTCCACTCGTTGTTGTTGTTGTTGTTTTTCTCGCATAATATTGATCGACAATTTTAAAATGTCAACATTGATTGCTTGGTTTGGTATTTTTTCATCCTTGAAAATTTTTGTCTTTCATAGAAATAAGAAAAAACGCAAAAAATTAAATTCAAAATTTTCATCAAATTCCCAAAAAAATACCTGAATTCAAAATGAATGCAAAAAATACAAGAAACAAAAAACCTCAAGGGCTTTTCGCACCAAGTCATTATGTGATGAAACGATTTTTGCAGGTTATTTGTGATTAAAATGTTATTACATTTTGTTGATCAGTTTGATGATGATGATAATTGAAAATTAAATGAGAAAAAAAAATACTTTTGAATTGAAAATCATTTGAAAAACTCTTGAGATTTTTTTTTGAATTCGGTAAATAAATTGGTTTTTTCGTGCAACCAACATAGTTCTCCCATTCCCTTGTTGTTGTTGTTTGTTTATTTCATTTCCATTCTCATCATCTGATCATCCGGGTGAAATGACAATGAAAAAAAATGTTTCAATTTTTTTTTTCGGTTGTTTCATTTCATTTTCGACAGATTGGATGTCATGTTTATTTTTTTACATTTTTACGATGATCCATGATGATCCACGTCTCTAGTGGCCCGTTTTCTCTTCGGTTCTCGTTGTTGTTGTTGTTTGTTGTTCATTTTCAAATTACCAAATTGGAACAATGATCCATTTCCATTTCGGTTTGTTTGTTTCTTCTTTGTAAATTTAACGCTCGTTTTGATTGTTGTTTATTGTTGTTTGTTTGTTGTTGTTGTCTCATTTTACCGTATCCAAAGAAAAAATTGCTGAATAACAACAACAAAAATGAGTCTTTTTTTACGAAAAAAAAAATTGTTAGTCTTTTTCTGTTTGTCTTTTGGGCTATTGTGTGTCCTGTATTCTATTTCGATCTTACTGATACTATAATGATGACAATAGTCGTAAATAGAATCTTTGTCCGTTTTGATCATTTTTTCTGGTTGTTATCATTTTGGTTATTTTTTGAAAAAAAATAAATTTTGACAACTGTCATTGAACTTTTCCATTATTATCGATTGATAATAATGATGATGATTATGATGATTATGATGAGTGAAGTGGATCAAAACGATTGCTACAATTTTCTTTTTGTTTTGTTTTGTTTTGTTCCGTTTTTTTGTCTGTTGATAACCTTCATTCATTCAAATATATGATGAGTGGATTTGATTTGTTTTTACTTTTGAACAGTGAAAAATTCAGGTGAATATAAAAAAATCCTCTTCGATATTCAGAGTTATTAAAATAACCAAAAAAACCAAAAATAGTATCAAATAACCAATGTTTATTTTTGTTTTGTTTTTGGGGTTTCTGGAACCATGAAAAAAAATATCCTTGAATATGATGAGTGGATGATAATTTCTTAGTTTGTTGTTGTTGTTGTTGTTGCTTAATTGTATCAAATTATCACGATATCAATTTTTTTTCTTGTCTGGTTTGTTGCTGTTCTTGTTTTTCTACTTTTGTTGAATAATCATCGGAAAATTTTGATAAACATTTTGGACCATATGGTATTGACCCAAGTGTGTGTGTCAATCTCTTTCTGACCCTTGGGGTCGAAATTGACCTAAACTTTTTTTTCTGGTTTTTGTTTTGACTATATTTAGATTGAAAAAAAAAAGTTTTTTTCACCCACATTTCATGTTGATCATCATCATATCGTTCACTGATTTGATGTGATGGACGATTGTATATCGATTATATTGTTTGCATAATCAGTAATAATCAATGACAACAAACAAACAAACAAACAACAACGACAACGACAACAAATAAACACCGATCAATCTCGATATAATTTGACAAGAAGGGAAATCCTTAAACCAAACTAAACAGCAAAACTGCGTGTGATTTTGATTTTCTTTCTTGAAATAAATGAAAAATTCCATACAAAAGCAAAACAAAAAAATGTCTATTGTTTGTTTGAACATTTGATTCACTATCCGGCGTCTCAATCAAATGTCCGAATTTTCGTCTTTTGAATTTGCTTGTTTGTTTGTGAAAGTTTTTGTGTTTTCGGGGTGATATTTTACATTTGATTGATACTGGATTTTTGCTTTATTTTCTTTTTGCTTTGATCTTTGATGAACTTCATTCATTCATTCAATTCATTCGGTGTGTGAATGACTTTGAAAAGAAAAGAAAATAAAACATTCGTTATAATTAGGTAAAACATTGATCATCATTGGGCAATCAATCAAATTTTATGTTCGATTTGCGCATCGTATATTAGCGAACAACAATAATAATATTCAATAAGATGCGCAAATCGAACAACATTCAAGAATCATAAGAATTTAATTCACTGTTTGTGTGTATGTGTGTGGTATGAATATTGAAAAAAAATGAATTCCATTTTTCAATGTAATCTGCAAAACAAGCAAACAAAACAATTTATTTGATTAACTTTCCAATTCGCACGACATAAAGGAATATATTTGGAGTTAGATAGATAGAGAGAGTCAGTAGCATCTGTTTTTGTTTTTTTTTTTCGTTTGTAAAAAAATGAAAAAATTCATATCATTCGTAAAATTGAAAACACGCAAATTTTTTTTTCTTATTTGGATTCAAATGAAATGAAAAATATCATTATTTTATTTCAAATGTTTTTTTTTGTTTTTAATTTTTTTCATTTTCATTTTTTTGATATTTAAAAATCCAAAAAAAACCAACCAAACAAACATGCACCCAAACACGCTTTGCACGCAAATCAAAACAATATTAGTGTTACGTATTTTAGGGCCACAAACATCACCGAAAAAGTAATCAAACGAAATCAAGTTGAAAAAGATTCCAACCAGTCAAACAAACTATAGGATAAGTTGTAAGTTGTTGGTGCATCCAGTGCATCTGCCTTGTGTTTATATAATGATAATGATAATGGAAATGGGAAAAAACTTTGATAAGATTTGTATTTTTGTAATTTTGATATATAGAAAAAGAGAGAGCTAAACAGAGAGTTGGAGCATATATTTGGTATTTGATTCCCCCTTTTTTTTAAAAAAAAGTTATCTTATCAATTGAGCATCTTTTTCTGGTTGTTTTTTGTTTTGTTTGGAATTAAGAAACAAAAAACATCTTTATTTATTAATCATATTTTCAACAAAAAAAAAACAAAAAACAAAAACAAAAAATGTTTTATTATGCAAAAAACACAAAAAGATATTATTCGTTTTTCTGCTGTTTTTCTGTTAATTATGTTTTTTTTGGTAAAATTTAAAATTTTTTTTAATTAATAAAAATGGTTTTTTCAAATTTTGTTTTTCCCTAAACAAAATTCATTTCTTTGTTTTGAAATATTTATCTAACTTGGGTCGCATTCATCTTCCGTTGTTGTTGTTGTTTTTGTTTTTCAATCGTAAGCTGGGTAATTTTTCTTTTTTCTTTTTTGAAAAAAAGGATTTACCCTTTTTTCTTAGTTCACCCGAAACAAAATGAAAAATTTGTCAACTTTAACAATTTAAAAAAAAATCCTATAGGATTTTCCTCTGCGATGCCAAAACTCTCTCTCTCTCTCTTGCGTTTTCCCTTCCCTGATTCATTCATTTGTTGTTGTTGTTTGTTTGGTTGGTTTTTCGATATTTTTCGGAAAAAACTACTACTGCTGTTACCGAGCATAAATAAAAAATAAAAAATTTCAGCATGGTGGGGATCAAGATTAAAATCTTACTGACAAAAAATTATTATTATTTATGTAAATGATTACAAATTTAGTAGGCTAGGATTATAATAACTTTCATTTGAACAAAATCTGTCCCAAAATCTAGTTTTGTGAATGGAAAATGAATTTTCAAAATCAAAATAAAAATAATTTTGACACAAGCTGATGAATTTTTCCACTGAATTCGTTCGTTTAACTCAAAAACTAACGAAAACCGAACTGAAAAGTTTCAATTTCAAATTATACATTTCCTTTGCTCGCTGTTTGTTTTTGTTTTGTGTTTTGCTGGGTTCCAGAAAACAAAATCAAATCAGATTATCTTTGGCTTTTTCTTTTTTATTGAATTTTTTCTCCCGTTTTGTTTGTTGTTGTTGTTGTTCAATCATCTAATCATTTTCAATCAATTTTTTGCTTTGTTTTGTTTTGTCACCGCTTATCTGATGATGATTATGATAAAATCTACAAAATATTCATCGATATATTTACTTATTTAATCCAATATGAAACACGTTTTGGGTCAAAAACGTTTTATTTATTTCGTAAAAAGGTGTCCTAGATGATTGATCTAGCGAAAATTTTTGATTTTTTTTTTGTTTTCCTGAATCTTATTTGTCATAATTTTTCTCTGCTCTCTGTTTTGGTTTTTCGTTTTGATTGATGAAATTGGATTTTTGCTGTTGTTGTTGTTGAAACAAGTTTGATTTCAATCGATGTTTGGTGTGTCATTCATAAAGTCAATTCAAGCAATGGAAATCCAAATTGAACCATTTAACAGATGAATATATTTCTTGGCTCTCTTTTCCCACTAATCAATATCCTTGATTATCGGTGTTATGGTATAGAAAAATTCATTCAAATAGCTTTAACATTCAAACCAAACAAACAAACAACAAACGTTTATTAAAATGAATGAATTCTTTCACACAGAACAAAATCTTTGTTTGTTTGTTTGGCATCTGCATCTTTTCGAAACAAACAAAACAAAACAAAACAAAATTTTCTTTATTTGTATCAATCCAATTTGTTGTTGTTGTTGTTTGATGTTGTATTCGACCCCACCGATTATGTGATTAGTTAGGTAGGCTTGGTAAACGTTTTTTTTCAATTTTTTTTCTTGTGGTTCAATGAAGAAATCACCACCAAACCAACCAAAAATGAAATGAAATGAAACAAAACAAAACAAAAAACGGAAAAAACAACAAAGTTGAATATTAAAGGAAAAGTTAGATTCCTTTAAAAGGTGGCAAAAAAAAGGCGATTATTTATCTTCTTATAAAAATCTTTAGTAGCCCTAGCAGTATTATGGAAAATGGATGAAAACAAAACAAAAAAATCCAAGCAAAAATCGTTGTTGTTTATATAATAAACACCGATTTCACTGGGTGCATGCTGAGAAAATGCGATAAATGTTTTTTTGTTGTTGTTGTTGGTATACCCATCCAATGAATTGAATAGAAATCCAATTTCACACTACATCAAAAAATGGTGAATTGAATTGAAAAGAAAAGAAAAAAGTGAGAAATTTTGGTCTAACACCAAGGCTGAATAACAAAATTTGTTTTTCTTTTTAGAAAAATTTTACGCAACAGAAAAAAATTATATCAATTTTGTTTGTTTGTTTGTTTGGTGTGACCTATGCGTGTTCCATAATAGCTTGGTTTGGTTATCGGTGAACGAACAGAAACTTTCCGTTTGTGGTCACAGGTCATTCATAGGCTTTCAGATACCCAAAATAACCAAAAAAAAACAAGTTGCCTTTGAAATTTGTTGTTGTTGTTTGAATTTAAATTCAAAAAAAAATTTCAAATCCTTAAATAATCTTTTGATCGATGATCGATTTTTTTGGATCTAAATTTGATCTATTCGATCAAATTGTTTACCGTTTTGTTTGTTTTTTTAGGTAGGATTTATATACTCTCATTCACACATCATCATTTGATCTTGAATAATAAGTAATAATCTTTGAATGAAAAACCAGTGAAAAATAAAAATCCAGAAAATATAACCAGCAGTCAAAATAAGCAAAAAATGATATTCATCTCTCTCTCTCTCTCTCTCTCTCTCTCTGTGTTTTAGTTAAATAATGATAATAATTTATATTTCTTTTCCATTTTTGGTTAAATATTGACAATTTCTCTCTCTCTCTCTCTCTCTCTCTCTCTCTCTCTTGCTTTGTTTGTATTTGGACACAATATATTTTGACATTGAGATTTTTTTCAAATGAAATATTTTGGGATTGATTTTTTTGTTTACCTTTATATTCCTCATCTACACTCCTATCCGAATGTTTTTTACCCAAAAAAACATTTAATCCTAATAAATGTATCCTCATTTTTCTTCCCTGTTTTTTTTTCTTGGTGAATATTATTTAATTTGATTAATATTGAATCAACACAAACAAACAAACAATAGCTAACAACAACCACAAGAGTAGCAGCGTGAAAAATAAAAATCCCAAAATTGAAATTCATCATCAAAAGAAGGAAATATATGGCCCAAAAAAGTAGCTCATCATTATCAGAAAAATTTTTCTCCCTGCATCCATATTTGATGCCCGAAAAATGTGATGAGAAAAGATGATCCGCGTGATAATAAAAAAAACCATAAATAGACACTAATCAACACAATGGATCCTCGCTTTTTTTCTGGTTGTTGTTGATTTTCATATCTCTTCTCTTTGGTTTCTATGTTTTTTGTTTTCCCAAACACAGACATGCATGTTTGTTTGGGTCATGGTTTTTTCTGTTGTTGACCGTTTTTTTTTATTCACCCGGTTTCTAAAAATATCAGCATAACCGAGCTTCTGTTTATTGTGTAATGTGTGTGACATAATACCGAGTGAATGACAAACAAACAAATGCAATTCACTCACAGTGTTTGTGTGTATTTAATGTCTCTAATGTGTAAGGTCCATTTCCAAAATGACATATGGTATATCTAGGAAAAAAAGAAGGTGAAAAATTTCGTCCCAGAAGCGACAGAGAGAAATATTTGTTTGTTTGTTTCGTTCTGCGAATGAAGAAATTTAAGTTTTTTTCTTGAATTATCCATCATCTTTTCTCCTGAAATAATCAATGAAAAGTTATGCATAACCAATTTTTTATTATAGTATGGCTATTCTAATTTTTATTTTGCGAACATCAAACAGAAATCAAAACACAACAGAAAAAAGTTATTAAAAGAAAGAAAAATCTTGTGTCGAATCGATGTAACAAATGTAAATGATGATTACCATCATTTCAATGTATGGTTACCATCATTGTAATGTATGACGATCAAAAAGATATTCACCAAGACCAACCGAACCACAACGTTCCAAATTAGTAATATAATCAGCCAATTTTTTAATTGCTTCAACCTGTTCATGTAGATAATTTGATTCAATAAAATCAGCAAATTGTGCATCATTATGTTTAGTAGCTAAATCATGTAAATCTAATAATGATTGATTAACAGTTTTTTCCAATTCTAATGATGCTTTTAATGCTTCTAAACCAGATGACCAATCTTGTTGTACGGGTTTTGGTATATCTTGTAATACAATACGACCACCACGTTGATTTTGTAATTTCATCAATTTTTCAGCATGTTCACGTTCTTCTTCAGATGATTCGTGGAAAAATTTTTCAAAACCAGGTAATGCTACATCTTCACGATTAAAATGAAAAGCCATCTGTTGATATACATAGGATGCATACAATTCTGTAATAAAACAATGTGAAATTCTTCAATGAAAAATGATATCGAGAAAAACATACCCAAATTGATTTGTTTATTAATACCAGCTTCACATTCTTTATGAAAATTCATTCGTACACGTGAAGTTTTGGTTGTTGATTCAGGATTAGCAGCCATGTTGATTATTTGGGATTTTGGGAAAGATTTTGGTTGAAAAAAGTAGTTGTTTTTTGAATTTCTTTTGAAAGTGATCAATCACTGTTGATGCAACTTGGTTGTTTGTTTCGTTAGTTTGAATTGAATCGTTGAATTTTTCGTTTATTTATATACCACCAAAAATTTGATTTTGTTGTTGTTATTTGGTCTGATTTTCTCACTTGGTAACTGTTTGTAACAGAAAAAAATACATTTTTATAAATGATAATCCATTCATTGGAATTTTATCTATAACCGAACATGTCAATCAATCGAATGATTTCGTTATAAATAACCAGAAACAAAAATTACAATCAAAATTGGTTTCATTTTTTTATTTATTTTGCATCAATTTTATTTATTTTTTGTTGATTACAAATCACATGATTATTATTAACGTCATTTCACACTTTAATTCACTTCAATTTTATTAATTGATAATTTTATAAATCATAATAATTTTTCATTTATAAAAAAATCAATTACAAATCAATCATTCGATGTGATGTGATTTTATTTTATTTTTTTGTAAACGTTTTTTTTTAATTATTATTGCCATTTTTGTTTGTAATTTCTAAAACATCAAAGTAAAAGTAAAAGTAAATAAATAAGTTTTTTACTAATCAAATCAAACCAAAATATTTGTGATAACATTCACAATCATTCAATAAAATCATGTGATTGGTAACTTTTTTTGATGGAAATGAATAAAATCTCTTTATTTTTGTTTTTGCTTGAATCGATCAATCAATGATGATTTGCAATTTTTTTCAAAATCTTATTTTGTTGTTGTTGTTGTTTGTTTGTTATGAATTCAATCCTTCCATTTTTGGAGATTTAACCCTTGTTTGTCAAATTATTTTCCAGGGAAAATTATCAGATCCGATGCGCAGATGTTCCAAGGAACAAACTTTACTTTTCTTTTTAGAATAGGCAAATTACATCATCATATGTCAATTTGATTGATTGATTAATGATTAATGCAGGAAAACATGAAAGGTTTAAATTTTGTTTAAAAACTTTTTTACAAATNGAATTTTATCTATAACCGAACATGTCAATCAATCGAATGATTTCGTTATAAATAACCAGAAACAAAAATTACAATCAAAATTGGCTTCATTTTTTTATTTATTTTGCATCAATTTTATTTATTTTTTGTTGATTACAAATCACATGATGATTATTATTAACGTCATTTCACACTTTAATTCACTTCAATCTTATAATTGATAATTTTATAAAATAATAATTTTTCATTTATAAAATCAATTACAAATCAATCATTCGATGTGATGTGATTTTATTTTATTATTTTTGTAAACGTTTTTTTTTATTATTGCCATTTTTGTTTGTAATTTCTAAAACATCAAAGTAAAAGTATAAGTAAATAAAATTTTTTATAATCAAGCCAAAATATGTGCGATAACATTTCAATAAAATCATGTGATTGAAATGAATAAAATCTCCTTATTTTTTTCTCGCTTTCGAATCGATCAATCAATCGATCAATCAATCAATCAATGATTTGCAGCAACAACATCATTTTGTTGTTGTTGTTGTTGTTTGTTTGTTATGGATTCAATCCTTCCATTTTTTTTGGAGATTTAACCCTTGTTTGTCAAATTATTTTCCAGGGAAAATTACCAGATTTGATGCGCAGATGTTCCAAGGAACAAACTTTACTTTTCTTTTTAGAATAGGCAAATTACATCATCATCATGTGTCAAATTGATTGATTGATTAATGATTAATGCAGAAAACATGAAATTTTTAAATTTTGTTTAAAAAGTTTTTACAAAAATGATTCATGTTTATGGGCGGTTGTTTTCGCTATATGATGATGATAGCGATGCGCAAAAAGAATGTCACCATGTTTTTTGTTGAAAATAAACAACAACAAAATAAACAAATTTTTTGGGTTGTTTAGCATCACTATTTTGGTTTTCACTTTCTTTGACTATCTATATAGCATCTAGAAGAAGAAGAATTTTATCCACCGCATAGAGAATATCTATCTATCTATATATAAGCATTTCCAAATGTTCAAATGCCCAGAATAAATGATATGGATGTTTTTTTTGCATTGAAAGATGCCTGCCTATTTCACAAAATAAACAAAAACAAGCCATTCAGCCATTCGACCAATAAAGATTGTTTGTTTGTTTCGTTTGGTCAAAGGACTGCCTTTGCTCAAATGAATGATGTGATGTGCGATGTTTATTCAGTGTATACCACACCCGAAGTAGAAACAGATAGACAGGGAGAGAGAGAGAGAGATGGAAGAGAATAACCCTATGTTGTTATCAAGATAGCCACTATAGTTGAAAGAAGAAAGATGGAAAAAAAAGGCTTAATCAAAACCGAAAAAAAATTGAACAAAATAAACTTTTGCCGTTATAATAAACTTGACCTAGATTTTGGGTTATTTATAGAAAGAAAAAAAATTCCTATTGACCTATTGGATCGATACCGAAAATAGAACCAAAAGTACCATTATGATCATTGTGATTTCAAGTGGATTTTTTTGAATTCAGTCATTGAAAATGTTGCTGTTGTTGTTGTTGGATTATCACAATTGAAATGATGCTCATTTTTTTCCCAAAATGCTTTTTTAAAAATAAACATTTTCTGTCACCTTGATCAAAAAAAAATCGAATAAACATCCCAGAATGAAAATGAAATAAATGAAATGTTCATATATCATCATCACTGATTCAACAGCGAAAATAAAACTCGACAAGTCAATATTTGGTTTGTTGAAACAACAACAGAAACAAAAACAAAAATCCAGTCCATATTTCTTTTTAAAGATTTTTTATATTATTTCCAAATGGAATATTTATTTATTATTATTGTTATATTCGTATTAAAAAAAAAGTAATGAATTGAAGATGAAAAAAAACTTAGCTGAATGATCCACATGTTTAGTTTCGTTTTTTTTAACTAACCAAACCGAACGATCGACCGACCGACCGAATTGGCAAATAAATCGTAAATTAGATTTTTGGATTTTCTTTCTTTTTATCTATCTGTTGTCACTCTAGTTCCATCGTTTTTTCTAGCAAAAAAATGGTTCCAGTGATTATGTGGATGATGACAAATCTTGTCATTTTATTTGTGAATTTTATTTTTTGCTTTTTGTCATCACCTAAAAATTGTTGTTTGTTTGTATGGCCCGTCCTCATCCTCATCATCATCAATTTTTCATTATATCCAAACATCTGTGTGGTGAGGATCTTATTTGAAGAAACTACTACTGTATCCATCCATGGATGATGATGTTTACTTTTTGGTGTAAATTTCGCACGCGCAAAGTTTTTATTCCATCATCACGTTTTGCAAAAAAAAAATGAATTTCACTTTTTTTTCGTTGCCTTGTTTTTTATTGTATTTTCGGTTTTTTATTTTTTGAAAAAAAATGTCGGTCATGTTGATATTTTCTATTTTCATTTATGAATGTTTCCAGGATTCATTCATTCGTTGTTCGATCCAAATTGTAAATATTATCATCACCAACACTGGTGCATATAATCGATATCAAAATGGACCCAAGTGAACCAATCTCTCTCTCTCTCTCTCTCTCTCTCTCTCTCTCTCTCTCTCTCACTGGTCATATGTATGTCATTGGGCCATGCTTAATGTTTTTCCTGTGTTTATTTTTTTCAAATAAAAAAAAAATATAAAAAGTTTTTTACTTTTTTTGGACCCTGTGTTTTTTGTTTTTTTCATTTCCAATTTCAATTTGATCGATTCGTTCATTTTTTATTTAGATTAACATTCAGCAGATGAGGATTATGAATCAATTTTTCATTCATTCATTCGATCATTGAATCCCAATGATGATTGATAAATTTAATTGATTTTTAATTTTCTTTGAATTTTTCATTTTTCATTGGCCACAATCCAATTTTCTCTGTTCAATATCCATTGACACGGTGGTGACCAAACAAACACGTGTCAATAACGTTGGTGATGTGGGTTTCTTACTTAACACTATCCACCACTGTGTGTGTGGTTGACCATTGAATAAAATGATTTATTAGTTGAAAAATTATGGAAATTCAAATTGAAATTTCATTTTTTATTTTGCCTAAACATAAATTCATTGTTGATTGTCCCTATGAATGTATTTTTGAATTGAAAAATACAATTTTTTTCTTTCACAGTTTGCGGTTGTGACGATTTTTCTCGGTTTTAATCTTATTTTTTTTTCCTTTTTATCAATAATTCAATGGAAAAAAATACGGTCTGATCGAGAAAGTTTTTTGAAAATTTTATTCATTTGAAAATGATGAAATTGAAATTTTCGGGAAATATTCGTCAGCAATTATTTTTGTTTTTTGTTTGACAAAATCTAATTGAAATGAAAAAATTTCAATGTGAAAAGGAAACTAAAATCATCATCATTTTGATTGAAATTATTATTATTATAATTCGGTTGTAAACTTTTTTTTTAAAAAAAAGTAAAATTAATATTAATTATTTAGAAAATGCCAAGCGAAAAACCAAACGAAAATTATAATGAATTTTCTGTGTGTGTGTTATGATTTATTCATTTCATATTCAGCATCATCATTATTATCAATTTTTGGAATGGATTTTTCTTTCCCTTGCATCTTTGAAATTCCTTCTCTCGGTGTGTGTGTGTGTGCGACAACCGAAATTCATTTTTCCCCGTGTAACCAGAAGATTTTAGTTTTTTTTTTATCCATTGATAATTCCAAACAGAAGAAAAACAAATGAAGTAGAAATGAAAATGTTAATTTCAAATATGTGATATTGATATTGAGCAAAAGATGCAAGGGAAAAATGGAAAATGGAAATGGAAAAAAAACAAACCCAAGGCATGTTTGCAATTAATATTTCTGGTTTGGTTTCCCAGCCAAAACGACGACTGCGACGACTACCAGAAAGTAAATTCATCTTGGAACTTTTACTTTGTTTTTGCACTCTCTCTTCTCTCTCTCTGATCTATTCATTAGCACATTTGGGGTATGGGGATATTGAGAACAAAAAACAAAAACCCGATAACTTTCAAAAATTCTGTTTGGCTCCCTGACTTTTTCATATTTTTTTTTTGTTTTTTTTTCTTGTTTCATTTGGCTTTA